TCTAATAAAAGACGGGCGGCTTTTTATCGACGCTACAGATCGCTCGATGGGTTTCACCATGACGTTCGAGCATTTCAAGAATCAGGCCGAGTGCATTGCCCGTTTGAAGGACGATGTCGAGCTTACAGACAGTCTGGTCAATGCGAACTTTGTGTTTGGAGCTGGCAAAGCTCTGATGATGGGATTGGACCTAGAGCCTGTTATTAAGGAGATGATATGGTTCAGACGATGCAGTGATGCTCTCGAATAAGTTAGACACGACACCGGGGCAAAAAGGCACTAGCTGGTGGTGATTCCGAGCTTATGTTGGTCGTGCGACGAAGATCTGTTCACTATGTTGATCGGATACGCCTGGGATTGATTGCACGTCTGGTTCTATATCAAAGGATCTATGTTTCTGGCCTGACTGCACGCCCACGCCGGTCCTAGCAGTTAAACGAGAAGCCTTAGCCTATAATGAATATGAAAAGCTACGTCGGCGCATCCATGGGTTGATGCGCTTGGAGCTTTTTCTTACCTTGAAACTAAGGCTCCATCCTGGATCGCCCGTGTATCAGCTTTCAATGATCACTTCGCACCCCACCATGCCGTATATTCCGAAGCGCGCTGCCAACACAAACTGAGCTTGTCTCGCCCACATGAAGATCGCCCAAAGAACGTTTCCGATAGCGGAACCCAGCAGAAAGGCATTGAGGAGACGACCTCGGAACCGACGAAAGCGCAAAACTCTCACCAGCGGGGCAAACGTAAGCGTGGTGCTGATGGAACTCCTGAAATCGACTCATGCGATCGACATGGTGTTCTCGAAGCACGCCACGAAGTCATCATTGAATATGATGGTCACACCTAACAGGAATTGCACGAAGTTTTCCACGAAATCTGTATTGCTGGGTACAATGTCCGACATGGCAAAAGGGAGATATTGGTTTTCCGCAAGGATTTTCTTAATTGAAGCACAACCTCAGAGGACAGTGAGCCATTGGCATATTCTTCGCTGGCTTGTGTACGTGGCGTCCTGATTGGGTCTACTGTTAGCGACCAGGAAAACCCATCCTTGAAGCTAACTGACAAGCAGTTAAAGCTGGCTCAGAGGCTCTGCGAAACAGCTGCTCACCAGGCTCTACGATCGGGCAAATACGGGACCGAACTGGATGAAGCGAAGGAAAAGTTCAAGATGTTACTGGGCCTTGCCGACAAAGAAGTAGCGCGCCTAGTTGAGAAACCCAAGCAAGAAGAGGGGACAGGCAAATTCACGGGTAGCATCGACCAGAGAAGCGGCTACAGAACCTTGGAACCCGCTCTGAATGACAAATCGTTGTTGGCCCTAAACGACAAATTCTTCTTTTCTTCCTCTGGCAACCTGATTTGATTTGGACTAGTAGCACTCTGAATGCCGTTGAGAGATACCTACGCTAATCGTCTCACGTCAGCCAGCTATCAGCTCAACTAATTTCTGAATCGCCCCACAGGTAGTTTGTTGGTGCCTATGAAGTGGGGTGGTAGAGACAATCCTCAGAAATTTGCAAAATCCGCCTGATTCATTCGTGTATGTTGTATGCAAGATGACTATTGGGCTGCCTTCGGTGTGGGGCCAAAAGGCCAAGCCTCCCCCCGCCGGACCTATCATTCAAAGCTTCGAGGATCTTTCGTGATGGTTACTCTTTTCGGTTTAGTGGGTGTATCTGAAGCATCTTATTTCAGTATTAGTTGCGAAAGAACAGCAGCGCCCTGGATTCTGGTCCAACATATATAAATCGCCATAACCTTTATTGGAGAATGCTTCTCAATTTGTTCAGAGTCTAGAGACAGCCAAACTACTGACTGAGTATTCTGTCTCTAAACCATGGCCCTTACAACTCTTGCAATTATTTTTCTCTCTCTACTTTCAGCTTGCAGTCACGGAAGTCCTCTTCACAAAAAGCATGCCATCGTTGAATTGGACAATCGAGTCCGCATTCACGGAGCATCGGCCAGCAATATTGAGTCGTTCCTCAACATACGCTTCGCACAAGATACCGGTGGCAGCAATCGTTTTGCACCTCCCGAACCATACAGCTATCCACATGGCTCAGTGATAAATGCCACTCGGCCTGGTGCAGCTTGCCCCCAGCAAAAAGTTCCCCTCCAGGGACTTGCTCTTTTTGACAATGTTACCCACATTTCAGAAGACTGCCTCACTCTACGTGTCGATCGACCAGCCAATACATCAAGCACATCCAAGCTTCCTGTCATGGCATATATCTATGGTGGTGGAGATTCCATCGGCCAGATTTATGATTCAATATACGAGCCAGGCCCCTTGATCTCTAACGCCGTTCAACAGGGTTTCCCTGTGATTTATGTGGCTATGAATTACCGCCTCGGCGTATTTGGATTTGCTGCTTCACCCGCTTTGAACGCAACGGACTCTCTTAACGTGGGCCTCCTTGACCAGCGGCTCGGTCTCTCTTGGGTGCAGCAGCACATTTCGGCTTTCGGTGGTGACCCTGATAATGTCACTATCTTTGGAGAGAGTGATGGAGCTACTGGAGTTGGCCTTCAGATAACCGCATATGGCGGTGATGTGCAGAAGACCCCATTCAAAAGGGCCATCATGCAATCAGGCAGCCCCGCTTCAGACTTAGGCACTGCCAGCAATATATCTGCAGTGCGTACGAGTGAACTTATAAAGAAAGTCAACTGCACATCCTCTAGCAGTGAGGCCGAGTTTACTTGCCTGCGAAAACTGCCGCTTAACATACTGCTCTCAGCTGCGGTAGAATACGAGTTTAGCGCTACTGGTTCTGGGTTTGATGCCTTTATACCGACCTCTCCGTCGACCTTTATTCCTGACAGCCCTTCAGCGCTCTTAACCACTGGTCGATTTGCTCGTGATATCGATATTATAGCTGGCTGGACTGAAGACGATCAGTCATTTTTTACGCCAACCACGCTCAACTCAACCACAGATCTTGTTGAGTTCATTTACTCTCAGTTTCCAGCCTTTTCAGAAAGGAACGTCCAGAGGGTTCTTTCTCTATACCCTGTTACATCTTTCTTTGGCATGCCCGCAAAGAATATTTCAGCCCAGTACTTCCGTGCAAGCCGAATGATTCGAGACGCACAGGATGCTTGCCCAAGTCTGCATATGGTGCAAATGAATCATAAATACTCAGACGAGAAGACCTCGAACTATCTCTATGTTTTGAATCAGACCCTATTTGCTCCACTGTTTGCCGAGGCAGGGACCCCCTATCTCGGCGTTCCACATTTCAGTGATATTCCCTACGTCTTTAATCTGGTGAAGACGAGGTACTCTTTCCTGGCCTCTCCAGCGGACCTAACCTTGTCCACGAAAATGAGCAGCAGCTGGGCTTCCTTCGCTGCTTTTGGAGAACCTTCTCGAAGACATGGGACAATACCCAACTGGTACGGCGCCATGAATCAAAGTTCGCAGGGTCAATATAACCTTCGAGTCATCGGCGGCCCTGGCGAAGGCGCTGAAGCCATTGGGCATGGCAAGAATTTCTATGAAGAACTGGCTAGGAGATGTGACTTCTGGAACTCTGCGGAAGTACTTCGAGAGATGGCAGTCTAATGGGTGGTGTTATAACTCCTGTGTCGTCGAACTCAGCATGAAGAAGGCTTAGAGATCATTATATTGAATTATTAGTGTGTATAGATTTTGAAAATAACTATATCTATTCTTTGAGACGAATGACGTATGGACATACCTAACTCTAGGCAATTTCGTGACCCTCTTGGCACTAATAGATCGTTGATACTCCGTCAATCTCAGAGTATTCACCAGCCAGTGCAGGTATATATTTATCATACTGTGCTGTGACATTTCCTCCCTCTAAAGGTTGATTCGTTGGGATAAACTGGTATTCAAGGACTATTTTCTGATGAAAAGCAAGCAACCACGCAAACCTGTGAAGCTTCAACTAACGGGACGGAATCCAGATCAACAAGCCTTCACCATAGCCTGCTAATTTGAGGGAGATCATTTTTACAGTCGCAAGGATCTGATGATATGATGTCGCGCGACTAGGAGAATCTCGTTGCTAGGGCGAAAGATGTATGCCGAAACAAAGTTTTGGAGCTATAGAAGGTATTTGCCCCCTGTGTATCCTCACTGTACTTTTTCACACTTCGCGAATCTCACACCGTATGAAACGCAATCGGGACAAACACAGCCGACCTCCCACCGAATCAGGCTCCGCATGGAATCAGGCTCTATAGGGAAGAAGGCTCCGCATGGAAGAAGGCTCTATACAAAGCCACGTCTAAGGGTTTTGCGTCTCTCCCTCTAGACATTCATCTACTATCATACTAACCTACAAAGCTAGGTTTTCTTATATAACTAAGTAAGAATACTATATAGAATCGTTTAAATAATAAGAAAATACGCGTTTATAGGGATAACTACGAAGTAGTATAGCATTTTACCCGCCTAATACGCTGTATTTTTAGTATAATTAGTGTTTGCACTGTTTATAGTACTGCAGTACTTGTTAAGGCCTATCTCCGACTTAGCTCGGTTTCAAGTATTGAATCGTATCGAAAGGCACTATCACGTGCTTGAATGTTCACTCGTTGGATTGTAATAGTCTTACTAAGAATACTAGTCTCTTGCAGCCTCTTGAGCTTGTGGACGACATCCTATCTATTTGTCCGATGTTTTTGTTAGCGAAGCTTTATGGGGTGATGGGGCCAATATTTTTCGATGAGTGCGGACTAAGTCGATCTGTGACGGGACATCGTTTTGGGAAGTACACATGAATCAGAAAATGCGATGTAAACATAAATCCTTAAGCATAGTACTATTATCTACGCATACATATCCAGCTACTTCGTTACTATTCTCTATCGGTTTCCCGTTCCTCATCTGTTTCCCGTACCACTTCCGTTTCCCATTCTAACAATGTTTTAGAATTGGATAGTACTGGGATGGTTGGGGCCGAGTGTTTGCTTCTGCTTCGGCACCGTGAGCTGGAAATTTCCAGATGAAAGCGAGATTAGCCATAATGGTTGGTAAGCGTGTCAGGATGGTCCTCACCGAGCGTCGTCTTGCGAGTCTTCATCACTTGCACCTCGAGCTTCTCGGCCTCCTCCCACCGGCCCTGGTTGCTGTACATCGCCGCTAGCCTGGCCATACTCGATAGCGTGCGAGGATGGTCCTCGCCGAGCTTCCTCTTGCGAGTCTCCATCACTTGCACCTCGAGCTTCTCGGCTTCCTCCCACCGGCCTCGGCCACTATACGTCGCCGCCAGGTGGGCCATACTCGAGAGCGCGTCAGGATGGTCGTCGCCGAGTTTCATCCTGCTCGTCTTCATCACCTGCACCTGGAGCTTCTCGGCTTCCTCCCACCGGCCTCGGTCACTATACGTCGCCGCCAGGTGGGCCATACTCGAGAGCGCGTCAGGATGGTCGTCGCCGAGTTTCATCCTGCTCGTCTTCATCACCTGCACCTGGAGCTTCTCGGCTTCCTCCCACCGGCCCTGGTCACTATACGTCGCCGCCAGGTGGGCCATACTCGACAGTGTGTCGGAATGGTCCTCGCCGAGCGTGGTCTTGCGAGTCTTCATCACCTGAACCTGGAGCTTCTCGGCCTCCTCCCACCGGCCCTGGTCACTGTACGTCGCCGCCAGGTGGGCCATACTCGACAGCGTGTCGGAATGGTCCTCGCCGAGCGTGGTCTGGCGTGTCTTCATCACTTGCACCTCGAGCTTCTCGGCCTCCTCCCACCGGCCCTGGTTGCTGTACGTCGCCGCTAGCCTGGCCATACTCGATAGCGTGCGAGGATGGTCCTCGCCGAGCGTGGTCTGGCGTGTCTCCATCACTAGCAACTCGAGCTTGTCGGCTTCCTCCCACCGGCCCTGGTTGCTATACGTCGCCGCCAGGTGGGCCATACTCGACAGTGTGTCGGAATGGTCCTCGCCGAGCGTGGTCTTGCGAGTCTTCATCACCTGAACCTGGAGCTTCTCGGCCTCTTCCCACCGGCCCTGTTTACTGTACGTCGCCGCCAGGTGGGCCATACTCGACAGCGTGTCGGAATGGTCCTCACCGAGCTTGGTCTTGCGAGTCTTCATCACCTGCACATCGAGCTGCTCGGCTTCCTCCCACCGGCCATGGTTCCTATACGTTATCGCCATATTCGCCATAGTGGTGAGCGTGTCAGGATGGTCCTCGTCGAGCTTAGTCTTGCGAGTCTTTATCACATCCAAAAAGAGCTGCTCGGCCTCCTCCCACCGGCCCTGTTTACTATACGTTACCGCCAGATTCGCCATACTGGTGAGCGTGTCAGGATGGTCCTCGCCGAGCTTAGTCTTGCGAGTCTTTATCACATGCAAAAAGAGCTGCTCGGCCTCCTCCCACCGGCGTTGGTTGCTGTACGTTATCGCCAGATTCGCCATACTGGTGAGCGTGTCAGGATGGTCCTCGTCGAGCTTAGTCTTGCGAGTCTTTATCACATCCAAAAAGAGCTGCTCGGCCTCCTTCCACCGGCCGTGGTTACAAAGTGCTGATGCTACATTCGCCATACTGGTCAGCGTGGAGGGATGGTCCTCGCCGAGCTTCATCTTGCTTATCTTCATCACCTGTAGATCGAGCTTCTCGGCCTCCTTCCACCGCCCTTGGTCCCTGTACGTCGATGCCAGGTTGGTCATACTGGTGAGCGTGTCAGGATGGTCCTCGTCGAGCTTCGTCTTGCGAATCTTTATCACATCCAAAAAGAGCTGCTCGGCCTCCTTCCACCGCCCTTGGTCCCTGTACGTCGATGCCAGGTTGGACATACTGGTGAGCGTGATGGGATGGTCCTCGCCGAGTTTCGCCTTGCCCGTCTTTATCACATGCATATCGATCTGCTCAGCCTCCTCCCACCGTCCCTGGTTCCTGTAAGTCGACGCCAGGTTGGCCACAATCACCAGCGTGGAGGGATGTTCCTCGCCGAGCTTCGTCTTATGAGTCTTTATCACCTGCACCAGTAGCTGCTCGGCCTCCTCCCACCGGCCGTTAAGCCAGTACGCCTTTGCCAACATGACTGTGCTATTGAGGACCTCTTCATGCTCATCACCTAGTAAAATCATTCTTTGCTCTCTTGATCTTGCTGCCATTTCTCTTATATCCGCGATATTGCCGCTTTGCGACGCATAGTATGCAGCTCTATAAAGCAATATAGCCCATTGTTATAGAGCCTTAGGCGATACTGGCCGTTAGGGTATTGCGCACTTGACATGTGGAAAGAGCGCCTAACACATCCCCCAGTTCTCGTATTCGCCCGTTGGAAACTCTCTGTATAGATTGCTGATAAACATCTCTCTCCATTCATTTATTTGTCCACGAGACTTCAACCATACACGCATAGTCAATTGCACTAGTCGATACATCGTGAAAAAGGTGCTATTCTCACTAACAGATATAAATGCAAAATCCCTCAGAGTCGCAACATCATCTTCAAAATCGGGGCCTATATCAGATTCAGATTCTTCACTATCACTAGAGTCGTTTAAAAGCTCTAAAATTGGCGTGTTGGCTTCGGGTCGATGCCGAATAAGGTTCTCTAGTATCTCTTGCCGATCGAAAAAACTCATAAGAGAAAGCAACTCCGCTGCAGATAGCTTTATTTGGCGTATATAATCGAAGGACATTTGCCACGTCACTAAAATTGAATTCTTTACTTCCCAGTCTCGGTAGTAGTAGCCCGCCTCTTCTTTTAGAAGCCTGATAGCTTTGCGGTCGCTCTCTTGAAAGTCTTTCAGGTATTGTGATACCGAATAGCGAGGCGCCCGATTTTGGATATAGCTCGCAGCCTGTACGATCGCTAGCGGCATAAGCTCTAACATGTCCACTAACTGTTGACTTTCTTCGTTCTCCCCTGCCTGTTGAAGCTTTCTTTGGAGAAGCTCTAGCGCCTCGGAGCTTTCCATCGGTTTGACTTCAACAAGGTTATTACGATCGACCATTTTTAACGCAACCTCTCTCGTCCGACTAGTGATGATCATAGATCCATTTCGGCCTCTAGGAACGTATTCTAATAGCGGTTTTGTCAAAACATTCGTTGGGTCTCTTATAGAATCTTCCTTCCTTGCGGCCGGAAACGAGCAGAGGAACTTGTCATCGTCAACGTTATCCAGGATACAGACCCATTTTCCTGTCTTATCATCCCGAAGCCGGTTCTCGACAAGTTTATATATATTGACTTGAGGATCCTGACGACCGGGGATTTTAACTTGGTCCGCAATATCCCGGAAACTCTGCTCAAACCGGGCTTCATTACTTGCATGGACCCAGAAGACCCATGTCGCCGGCGATTCGGACCGAACCCGGTAGGAGCATTCGATAGCAAGCTGCGATTTCCTTCGAGTTATCAGCAAGAAGCAATGAACCACATACCCGTCCCTCAATACTCACCCGACACCGCCAAGGCCGACCAGCGCTATTCTTGACCCTGGTACTGAGCTTTTTTCATGGATCTGATGAAGTAGAGTGTCGCGAGTGACAAAGTCTGGATTGCGCGCGAACGGGACAGTCGATAGAGGGCTGGGTGGAGTTTCCGGTCGCACTGGGGTGAGATGCGGCGATTAGTCACGATCGCGAGCGCCCCTCTTAACTTACCTAGAGGTAGATGGAACTCTGCCGTAATTGAGCCATGGTTATCTCCGACCTGGAGCCCATCGTTTTTGCCACGGAATGATATCGATGCCATCGTCGAACAAACGTGCCTCGTTTGTATCGTTTGTATTAGTACATGAGAAGGCTTATTGTCTGCTTCTCAGCTCAAGCGGGGCACCCGCCTCAGGCTCACCGTCAGGTGACTTTCGCGGCGCTGAGATACGGCAACAACCCACATAGAACATTCGGTCCGTCCTGAGCAGAGAGAGATTAGCACCTTCCAGGAGCTTACTCGGCCCGAGCCCGAAGACCCAGGTCAAGTGCAGCAGGCGATAACTAGCCTGATCTCATCCCTTTTTCCCGTTTCAAATGGCACGAATAGAAGATACGGGATCCCATCTTCTTGCAGCGATGCCGAAACTAACGAATGGCTTTCCAGCGTAGCAACCACCTTTCTGAGGTCCGCAGCTATGTGATGGACCCCAAGCTCCCAGGAACCTGCGAGATCGCAAGGTCACGTGCATTTCCTAATAGCTTCCCCCAGACTTTATACCCAGAATTATTTCACTTGCTCACTGAGCAGAGGGGTGAGCAAGGGTGAGCAGATGGATTTCACAGAATGCTTTGGAAGGTTCCAGCGCCGACTTTGTATTTTCCTAGTCAAACATATTTTATTATTGTACCGTCTCCATTTTCTATTCTCCTCTTTTCGGGCCCTAATCTACCCCGCCCACCACTCCCCGATCTATAACCATGTCCCCATTGACGACAGCCGAACGTATCCGCGCGGTGGAAGTCATTATCAACTATGATTTCGATGATAAGTCTCTTCTTGTGAAGGCCCTAGAAGCTGCCGGGGCCACCATGGCCAGCCAGGGCAATAAGCGGCTTGCGCTTATCGGGGACGCTGCCCTGAGGCACATTCTTTATAAGTTTGGTTATAAAGGCGAAGCTTCCATCTGTGAGACCTTTCAATAGATATTCATATATCTACTATTAACGTGATAAAAGGCGACATGACGAACGCACAGAATACTCGGTCCACGAACGAAAATCTAGCGAATATAGGCTTTCGCCTGGGCATCAATGTCTACATCCAGCTGAACCCTTCGGCCCAAGGCGTCGTCCCTATACGGCTGATGGCAACTACCATCGAAGCCATCATCGGTGCTGTCTATCTCGACTGTAATAAGAATGTTACGGTCGTACGTCGCTTGGTTGATCATCTGCGTGTTATGCCGGCGCTCTAGTGGATATCCTCGAATAGGTACGGGAAATGCTACGCCTCGTTCCCAGGTTACATACGTGTTGTAAATGCTGATTGATTCTTTAGGTCGCATTTCCCGGGAGGTATTTGTATACCCTTGCGGCGATATTTGCTGGCAGATGCCCTGATAAAGAGGCTTTTCAGACCTTGACGAGAGGGACACATTTGGTACTATGCGTCCCTCTCGAGAAGGTCTGGAAAGGCTCTTTATGATGGCATCTGGTGGTTAGTATCGTTGGAATAGTATCTGAATAGTCCTATGGGCGCTAGTCATTGGCGTATGTCTAGCACGGAGATCTTTCCGGACGTTTTACAACAAGGAGCCCCTTGGCACCCAGGCTTCTTATCGCAAAAGAGCCGGGTATATCTCCGTGCTAGCCAAATATCAATAACTGGTATATGCAGTTGTGTTTGGTTTTTATGTTAATTGTTTGGTTTTTATTGGGACATATTCAAAATGTCGTCCGCTGATTTATTGGCTTGACTTGAAATGTTTCATTTTTTTTTCCTATATTTTTAGTTCTCACGGTTGCCTAACGATTCAACCTCTTAGGGTCATCGAGCGTTCTTGGATTTTGGCAGTCATCAAATTTAATCTAGTCACTCGTTTCTACTCTATCATCAAATTTTGTAAATCCTATAGTATATGAGTGCTTCAGCTGATAGCTCACATTAAAATTATTGAAATGAGGAAGATCGTTATATACAGCTCTAATGGTATGGCTGAGTCTAGATCTCGGTGGCCCGAACAAATAAAGTAGAACTAAGGACCAAAATTTTTCAACACAAATCGAATAGAAAGCTCTAGAGGGTATTTTTGCTGATAGATGCTGCTAACTGCTTCATTTTCCTGCTGCTCGTGCTCGTTCTCTCGCGCGCGGGATTCGTATGGAACTTCTCTGGTCTATATTCTTGCTGGATATGGCAAACGCGATTTCATTCCAAATTGGAAGTAAACGGATACACGAGTTAATGGCTTCGTTGATTTATGGCCGGCCTATTCTTGTTTTTGAAGTCCCTATATCGGATTGGGGCATCGCCAGCGACTGCGCACGCGATGCATATCAGAAGTATGGCGCTGGAACGCTATTCGATGTAGTAAGCCTACTTCACACTAGTTGCATTTGAGTGGTTCTTCTTTAAGATGAATAGCATCAAAGTGGCGCGTAACACACCCGGGATCATGAAATATCTGAAAGCGAACCTTGTCCGGAAGCCCTTCACTTGCGAAGCATTGAAAGCATGCCTCTGGCTGCTTAGCAGTTTCAAGGTACTCCCTGGTGGCACGTAACGGCTTGCCACATATAGGGGCAGGTACCTTGCATGAGTCGATATCACTTCGGGTCTGCTGTAAATCCTTCGGCTGGGCTATCGGTCCAGTCGGCGAAGCAGATTTAGGAGCTTTCTGTTTAGGCCGGCCCCTCAATGGGCCTCCTTCAAGGACGTCACAATACTGGACAACCGCTGCAGCACCCGTATCGCGCCGATGCCACTTATCCTCCAACGAGTTAGAGATAGGGTAGGAAAGAAGGCTCTGCACGAGATGTAACTGAAGGGGGTGTATGGTGTCCTCTAAGGAGGGGTTGTCTCCATTCTCTTCCTTGACCGTAGCGCCCGATAGCTGTGCCTCGATATCTAAAAAGGCTTGCTCTTTATCAAATTTCTCTCTGATCTGATGCCGTAAGCTCCGGTGTAGCCTTTTCCGCGTATTTCTCACCTCCTTCTCCGGTTGCTGGAGTCGGAGAAGCAGGCCGGGTTGCTGAGTCTCTTCGTATTGCGCACGTATCTTGCCTAAATTGCGCCGGGCCTCTTCTAACTCGGGATGATCTTCAACTTGCGCCCTTTGTTGAGGAGTCAAGTAGCGTGGGCGTCGCGTGTCTCGCTAACAGCTTTGCCGGGTGACGGCTCGTATCAGTTCCACATCCGGGTCGAGGCCACAGATAACTCGGATCATGTCGGTGTCGAGTTGCAAGGGATGATAGTGGTTGAGAAAGGTGCGGGGGCTAGTATGCTTTATGATCAACATATGTTGCTCCTTGCTCACCCACCCTGCGGACTACATCAGCCACCAACTTGATAGGGCAAATCAAATTCACAGTATCTAAAGAAGAACTCACCGCTTTCGTTGATAACTTAACCAGATCGAAATGAACTCGTCCGTACGGTCCATACGTCTGTCCAGTCGCTCTCCTCGAGATCTGACGGTGGGCTTTCGTGACCTGGCACACCTGCCGCAGCTCTGGATTATGCTCAGCTGACTGCTCGCTCATACGCCCGACAATTTCCATTCCTTCCACCATTTTCTCGAGTATCTTAAGTGTCTCGGTGTGCATATGGCCCATTCTCCGATGCTATACGTCTGCTGTTGCTTTAGAGACTAGCGGTTTCTCTGAGCTTCGATTGGGCTTCTTAGTCGGACGAGGCCGGTGCGCTTCCCTTTGCCATCTTTGGGTCGCGAGCGCTATCTCTATCTCGTTTATGTTCGATCACCCATATTTCATATCAAAACTCGATCTTCGCTATCTCCTCTCTATGACAGACTAGAATATCTTGATCTGATCCTATTTGACGTCGTGATCTCAAAGAAGCTTCGAGGACGCTAGGTTCGACAGGAAATTTGGCGAATAGAGCACGTTGCTCAGCTTGATCACTACGGTCTCTCCTATACGAGGTCTTTTGCCTCCAATTCGTACTTCCCCGATGCCGCTCACGTCTGTCTGCGAGTCTCCAGTCCGAATGCTATTAGTAATTGGTTTGAAGCTTGTGAATCGGCTTCTGTCGTTACAGACATGGCACGACGCGCCTAAATCAAGGACCCAGCTCTTCCGCAGAGCATACGAGCCTTAATCTTGCGTCGTTGTGGCAATGTTCTTTTGGGTGTTGACTATCAAATCCTCTTTCCTAGGCTATGTGTTTACGGGACCGTCAAGCTGAGAGGTAAAGGAGCTATACTCTGGCGCGTCTATCTGAACACTCAGAAATGACTTCTTCTCTTCCTGCTCTCTCGCTTGTTGAAGTCTTCTCTCTATTTCAACCCGTCCTTCAGTCCTTCTCCTCAGAAACCACACTGCAGAACGACTGAGCTTGTAGGGTCTGGCTATGCAAGCTATTGTCTTCACGCTAGTCTCGGTGACGTGGATATGGAGTCTTCCATTTCCATATGAGAAATTGGACGGTTAATGGGACCTTAATTGAACCATGCTATCAATTTGGTAGGGGGCTATCGGTTAATCATCGTTCAGCTTTATCTTCGCCCTCGGCCAGATAGTGCTACTATTATTGGCCTTCACCGCTCGTCTTCGAGTAAAGCCACTAGACAACGAGAAAGCGAGGCGGAGCCACTCTTAGGGCATCCGGTATAGGGATAGACGTCTAGCTATCATTAGTTCTTTCAAATTCGCAACGTATTTATGTCGCTATGCTTTCTCAATAAGGATCACATTCAACCAGGGTAAACTCGACCCAGTTACTCGTAGGCACCAATCTTGCGGATCAAATACCCTATCATAAATCCCCACCACAGTATCTTGATGATCTTGAAAATGTCCCCAATCCAAACAGTCAATTAAAGCTCCCTTGAACCCGTACCGGAACTTGTCACCGGGTGCTACATGTTGCGGGAAGTCAGTCACCTCCCGCGTAAATGACCACGACTCACCAGGTTTTAGGGCCACGAAATCATTCCGGTCGTTACGGCCAACATTTACTGGAATGATAGTAGCAAACCTACAATCGTGGTGCCTAACCAGGCCCCCAAGTTCATATGGACTCCACTCGTCCTTGTCCTTTTCTCTAAAGTAGAGCCTGAATCCGTCCTGGCGGCGATCGATATCTTCCTAAGGATTGAAGACTGCTTGGAGTGGCATGCGATATGGCTCTAAAGTATCTAGAGGAGGCCTAATTAGGCCTTTGATGCCGTCATAGCAACTGCCACACTGCCACGATCAAATGGTGTCGGCAGAAAATGGCTTTGAGGGAGCCGTATTCCGGTCAACTCGCCGCGCCCAGAGAGAGGAGGCAAGGGTACGAAGGGGCATAGCGCCCAGGGTCGCATGCATCTATTTTATGCCTGCCTCAATTTGGCCTGGCAGAAAAATAGTTAACTAACTAACCTTGGAAGAATACCTGAATGACCTACATAGTTATGCACTTCTCAGGATATAGACCTAGATAAGGCGCCACGTGACCGATAAGAAATAAATTATCGCGCCGCAATGCGCCTCGAGCTTCGAACAAGGAGACAATACCCAAAAGGCCGAAACTAAATACTCTCTACCTCCAATGAAACCGACAGATGCAGCTTCCAAGCAGGCCACTCTTCACGAGACCCCCGCCATGTTCCGACCCCCTGTGAACCGTGCGATGCGCAGACTCGACCGGTCATTTTTCCGAAGGAACGTGCCCCTCTCCGTCGCCCAGGTTTTTAAACAAGGCGATATTTCGAACGTGCGGAAGGATTTGGCCAAGAGCCACGACCTCCTGGTCCTGCCACGCATTAGCTCTATCCGTGAAGTGAAGGATCAAGATGGCAAGGTGTGGAAAGCTATGTTGTTGCGCGAAGACCTGAAGATTGATAGTACGTTTATTGGGCTTGGGTCGGCCCCAACTTTGATGGACATATGGGTTCTAATTGAAGTGTATAGATAAGGCAACGTGGTCGCCTACTATCAACGAGCTCGTAAATAAGGGAACGGTCGCCTTGGGGCCTTATGAATTGGTATTGGAATATGACCATTGGTCATACGGTATGCTTGCAATCATATTTTCTCCTTGGCCAAGTATTCTTTGTTAATATTCTCATAGCTGAGATCATCTCGTCAATTCTACCTGAGGACCTGATGAAAGAGATCCCTCAAGGCTTCACTCAAGTGGGGCATGTCTGTATGTTCGTCTGAGTCACTGGCTATAACCCCCCTATTGACGAAACATGACGAAACAGTGCATTTAAACCTCCGTGACCGATACTTGCCATATAAGCACATACTGGCCGAGGTGCTTATGGACAAGAACCCGACCATTCGCACCGTCATCAATAAGACCGAAGATGTCGGCTCACACAGCCAGTTCCGCACCTTCCCATTCGAACTGCTGACGGGCGAGAATGATCTTAATGTCATCCAGCATGAGCAGGACTGTGAGTTCCGGTTCGACTATGCCCGTGTCTACTGGAACAGCCGTCTGGAGACCGAGCATCGCCGCCTGGTCGAGAAGTTCGAGCCCAGCGAAATGGTCTGCGACGTGATGGCCGGCGTCGGCCCCTTCGCTGTGCCAGCAGGCCGGAAGAAGATCTTTGTCTGGGCCAACGATCTCAACCCGTATGGATTTGAAGTTATGCAGGATGCTATTCCCCGTAATAAGGTACAAGATTTCGTTACACCTTTCAACCAGGATGGTCGGGAGTTTATCCGTTCCTCAAGTCGGTTGTTGCTCGACGCGAAGCCTCTTACCGTCACTATTCAACCCAAGGTGGGCAGAGAGAAGCAGCGTCAGGTCGCGCTAGGCAACGGGACGCTACCCGCGCCGAAGATATACACTCGTCCTACCGTTGTCAATCACTATGTCATGAACCTGCCTGCTACGGCCATTGAATTCCTTGATGCCTTCCCCGGGCTCTATGCTGGCGAGGAGCACATATTCGCACCCAATACGGAGCAAAAACTGCCCATGGTCCACGTTTACTGTTTCTCGGGACACTCAGATAACGAGGTGGATGATCACATCGATATCTGCGAGAGAATCTCTGAGCGTATCGGGCACAAGATCACTACAGACGACTGTGTGGGAGGCAAGGGCAACCAGGAATTGGAACTCGCTATTCACAATGTGAGGCTAGTTAGTCCCAAGAAGCAGATGTTCTGTGCTAGCTTCCGCCTGCCGCGGGAGGTCGCTTTTCGGAAGGTATAGAGTTGTTGTATAGCTGCATGTGAGGCGTTGGGGACTTGCTCCATGGACAAAAAAAATAAGCCTCTGGTACCTTATGAGACGACACCTATCATAGTACTGCTAGTAATAAATAAGTATTGGCTTCCCATATCGGATTCTATTGTTTTACTTCCTGAAGGAGAAGGCGGTAAGTGTGTCACCGCCTTGAAATGCCGCAAGTGAAACTGCAGAGATCAACGTCGCGCCGAACAAGTCACCTCATCTTCTTTACAGCAGATACACGGCGTCGACGAAGTAGCTTCGGGCAAGTTATTTTCACCAATACATTTGATTGAGAGTCACTGGGCTGCATACGCGAAACTACGCAATCTCGCCCCTCAGATCGCACAATGAGCGTCCCACTTCCCCCACCCACGCACCGCAAGCGCGCGCTGCCGCAAGGCGAGCTCGAAGCCGCCTCCACGCTCAAGCTGGGCGCTGACCAACACACGCACACACTCTCACTTTCGGAAGCAAGACTCGTTATCCACAAGGTGTTGGAGAACAAGCGGCGCGGGGGCAACAAATACGAAGAGCCGGAGTAGGTGGACCACAAACCATCCGGGGTCGAGACCGAATGCTTACCTGTAATGCTTTCTTTTTTACAGGAACTTGACCAAGACGTTGGATTATTTGGATGTCTTTGCCCGGTTCAAGGATGAGGAGAACATTAAAGCAGTCGAACGCCTTTTGAACTCTCATACAGAGCTGGAGATGTTCGAGCGGTCGCAGCTGGGTGAGTTTTGATTTGCACTGCCCCTTCGCCCATCGGCCAAGACCTTGTCCGATCCATGGCACATGCACCTGCATAGCACTGTCGGAAGGAACATCTGATAGCCTCGGATTTACTGACTTCTGTCTTCCTCTGAACAGGTAGTCTGTGTTGCGACAATGCCGAGGAGGCCAAGTCCCTCATCCCAAGTCTTCAGAACAAGATTTCTGATGGAGACTTGCAAGAATTGCTGGATGAGCTGACCAAGCTGCGCAATTTCACCGAGTAAAACATTCCAAGCCGATCGCATTTTCACCGTGGATGCCTCATTTTTAGGAGCATGGAGTTTGAAGGCGTTATTTTTCTTGTTGGTTTTAGCAGGATTTGCGAGTGAAGATGCTCACATCAACTGATTTCAACGGATTAACAGGCCATAGGTACATATGGGGGGATTGATGATTCATAATAGAAACCTTCCCGGGCCAACCATAGCTCATTTCTTATTACATCTGGCAGTTTGGCCAAGTCCGTTCCGTTTGCCACCGGGAATAGTAATTTAGCACATGTGCCGGGGAACGTGTCCTCGACTCCGGGGTGTTCCACTCCGGGACTAGCATGTGAAGCTAAGACATCCTGGTTTGGGAATGTATTACATATTAGATTGCACAGCGGTCAGAGGAGACAGCGAGTTACGCACGTACAGGACTAGAGGTGCATAGAATGCACAGAGTACATACATATATTGTATAGACTCTTAGGCTTTTCCCTCCACATTACCACCCCACAGTTTACGATTGCAGAGTTTCTCGGGCGCTACTGCGACTTTAGTATGGGACAGACTGCGATTGGTCGGGTGGAAAGCCGTTATCACTGGTTGCTGATTGGCCCGGGAGATCCTGGTACAACTCTCACTCGACCAGTCAGAAAGCCACTAATACATGCAGGAAGACAATCCCTGGGGAACGGGAGAGGAAAAAGGGGAGATTTAAATAGATTTAATAGATTTAAATATTTTTTTAAATCAGATTAGGCCATTCTGAGGTTCTTATTATCTAAATATTTGATCTATATCCCCGTCTCTGTAAGAGCTAAGTGAAAATGATGACCTAAGGATATTCTGTACGTAATGCAATGTCTGCTTTCAGAACCAATCAGCAAGGGACAGCTTATCTTTGACAATTAAAGTATCATAATTGTCAGTCACTTGCTTAACTTGATGGGGGTTTTTGTTACGAGAGGAAAAAGCTGATCTTCTGGAACTCGGGAAAGTAACCATATTTTTGGTGTTAAAGAATTTATATTACCTATTAGATCGTAGATCGATGTCATCATATTCTTTCTTTTCTTTCTCTCTCTTCCTCCTTCACTTTATTCCCCAGATCTTGAACGGGTAGGAATGACGGAGCGAACTATTCGGCATCTCATCCTGCTGCAGTCACTTGCAGGTTCATCTGCCTGATATATCTCACTTTCTGATCACCGGTGCCGGCTTAGGATTATCGCGAACTTATTTCGGAGATAACCAACTTTTTTTTCTGTCTGATAAGCGTATGTGTCTCTCTTATCACCGTGATCTTATCCAATGACTGACTCTGTATGTTCAGAAAATAAGAGATCTTGAATACGCTAGATCCTAGATTGCGGAGTTACGCCTCTGGAGTACACTCCGTGAAGACCCTATCACCTCTTTTATCTCCGTTCCTATTTGCCCGATTATCGTGCCTCCCAGAGCTAGTTCCGGTCCACATGGCTACTGTTATCACCCTCCAGCCTTCGGGCTATTCCCAAAGCCATTCCCCTGATCTCCGCCGAAAGACGGGCTCGACCCCAGCGCTCTCCCCATCCCCCATATCCATCAACTCGACCCTTCCCCGCGTACGGAATGGAGCTAGCTGTGACGCTTGTCTCCGCAGAAAGAGCAGGTGTGCCATGAATGAAATGGTCAATAAATGCTATTCATGCGACTTCCACCGCCAGGAGTGTACCTTTACCCTCACAGCCCAATCCGAGGTTCCATCCAAGAAGAGGAAATTGGACGAAGGGCAGGAACCCACAGAAGGAATTAAGCGGTATGGCATTCCAACAGGCTGGGGATATACCTCGGCTCCATATATAGAGAGAAATTGTGCTCTAACAATACCCAGACCCTCTACAATCCAACCGGCGCATTCAATCCCGGAGACCGAGTCTCACCTAGCAGTGAACATGATTCGCCCCGGGTTCTTTAACCAGACAACTCAGCATATTGGCATGACCACTGAGCTAGAGCCAACCTTACTAGAATATCTTCCGCTGGACCAATACGACGAATGCACAGTCTCGAACTCACGTGTGCGGAGATGTGCCGACGACGGCACCTTTATGCGCGTCGTGGACACCGCGCCTGGCGGTGACTCACAGGCCCTATCACTCGATGCTATTGAGAGCATGGTCGCTCCCTACGGCTCTACACTGATCGAGAAGTTCTTCGACCATGTACACCCCTCGTTCCCAATTTTGATAGAGGAAGTATTCCGCCAATCATACCGTGAGCGCCGTGGACTCTCACCCCTACTACTCGCCGCAGTCTACGTCTTGACATTGAAGTTCGTCGACGTCGGTGCCAACTCGCAAACTGCGCGCAAACCCGATGCCGCACGGCTAGAGGCTTCGGCCTTGAAGCTGCTGATGGATTCTTTGCAATTCCCCAGTGTCTCGACTATCCAAGCCGGGCTCCTGCTGACACAGAAGTCGACGCTAGCTACAGCATCATTAAATGGTCAGCTGGTCACGGCCGCTTTCGAGCTGGGTCTGCATCAGGACTGCACGAACTGGCGTATGGAGACGTGGGAGAAGGGCCTGCGGAAACGCCTCGCGTGGGCTTTGTATATGCAGGATAAATGGTCCTCGCTGGTACACGGCCGACCCTCGCATATCTTCGCCTTCAACTGGACGGTCAAGGATCTCGTGGAGCAGGACTTCTCGGATGCCTTTGCCTCCGGCACTGACTCCTCGCACGATGAAACCGCCGTCGGCCACGGGCCTCTTCTTTTCTGCCACATGGTCGCACTAACAACCATCCTCTCCGACATCCTCGATCGTTTCTACACATTGCACGCCATTGAAGAGTTCTCCGCCGCCGGAAACCAGCGCACACGCATGATCTTAGAAAAGGCCAAACCAGCCCAAATCCGGCTTAAAGACTGGTTCTCCTCCCTTCCACCATCCCTCAAGATGGAAACCTCAACTGGCGAACTCGTCGAAACAATAACAGACGAACACGCCCGCAACGGCGCCCTTCACCTTGCCTACTTCGCCACCGAAATCACCTTACACCGCTGCATCGTCCGCTCCCTCCTCGCCGAAGGCACAGACCAGTACCTCGCGCACATCTGCCGCTCCGCCGCAAAGACTCGTCTGATCTCCGCAATGGACTTTGTCAACCGCCTCCGCCCTGCTCACCTCCGCTCTTTCTGGCCCGCCTCCGCACGCACCAACTTCTCCCTTATCGGCTCTTTCGGCATGCTCCTTCGCATCACCGCCCCGACAAACGAGGAGGCAGACTTCTACCGCGTCCGGCTGTGTGAATACCGCTGGACTCTAGGTGTCAGCCACAAGAACGCCGAATTCATGGGCTTTGCCTTGCAAAGTCTTGATAATGCCACCGCTCTACACAAGCACGTCCCCGCGAAGCCGGGCATCGAGGAGCTCATGGCGTCAACTAACAAGCATGCGCCACCACGCATGCCGACTACAGCGCTTGGCTCTTACGACGAGGCTATGATGGATGCCGGCGGCACGGCGGCTTCGAGCTCGGTTATGTCGGGTCTTGCGTCACCAGCTACGTCTGTTAGTGATATGGAGGATGGAGAAGCCTCTATGGCACCCCTGTGATCACATCCACCCCTCTTCCATCTCTTCTCTCTTCGCCTTAGCTTCAACTCCGCCCCGACCTCACATCCTACCTCATTTCCAGCCTTTGGACTCTCCCTGGTGTCTTCTCGTGATTCCCCTTCTGCTCCAGCGTTTTCTCGGGAATTTGCTCTTGATTTTCTGGGATGCAGCGCCTGATTTATTTGAAATTATTACCCCATGTATCGAGTCTGCTTACGCAGCAGACTAGAACCTGTTACCTTGAAGGAATTACCCTGGCTTTGGAATATGTGCATTGGACCGGATTACGCTTGGTGCATGCCTTTGGTTCTCCTTTTGGCCCAATGTTGTAGACAGGAATTATGTGTATAGATTGGATAATGAATTATGATTTTATTCTTTTGACGATGGCCCTATATATCCAAGGATGACAGCATAGTAGTAATCTCTAAAAGCGATGCTGGTTTCAGCTTTGAGATACAATGTTTGTCGAAGTGCTTTGCGAAATATTCTGGAACTATTTTAGTTCTCCACTCCGTCTGTAGCCGTTCTAGACAAAAATGATAAACCATCTGTCATGCGGAGCCAACAAGGCCAGTTCCTAATATTTTAATGGTCCCCTCCTTCCAGGTCAACTCGTAGCCTTTGCTTAGTTCATAGATGTTAATGATTTATATATTATAATTCATCATCTTTAGACAAAAGATACTACGCCTTATTCGGATAGTCGGCAAATTATCTAGCTCGCTTTCCTATTGCTTAGCTCGGCTTATACCGGAAGTCGGCCGGGGGCATTAGTGTACGTTAAAAAGAACGAGCGGACTAACACCGAGCACTTCTTTAGAAGTGTGGATAATGTTGACGCTATCGAAAAGGACACAACGGATGAGTAGGATCTCAGAGACGAGGATTTAAAGAGTCTTTACTACGGCCAGATAAGCTTGGTGCTTCTACCAGCAGAAAGATGCCAGTGACCGATCCCAGTCGCCTCATCCGCCTATACTAAGTAGCGTTCGAACTGGAAAGATAAGGGTGATTCAGGTAATGGCGTCCCGGCTGGACCGCAGAAGACTACTTGAGAATTGTTCATCGTAATTTGGGTGCTAGGTAATGGCGTAGCTTCCGCGACGCCAGCTGGCCCTACTAGTGCGCTAGAGTTTTAGTAATTGATCTTGTCTCCAAAAGCACAATTCTTACCATCGACAACATAGCTTTCAGGGCCAAGCAAGGTAAAGGGCATCGGAGGTGATATTGCCCACTAGATATCGCTCTGAGGTACTAAAGAATGCTGCAGATCGTTGTCTAGTTATCCCAACCAACATCGTTGCCGCCATAGTACGATAGGTTAGTGGTCAAGCACGGAGTTTCAGAATAGCCACACACAGGGGCCGGTGTTAGAAGTAGAAGAGAGTCTAGAGGCGAAGCCCGGGGTGTGTG